CATTCCTATAATGAGGAAAGACTCTGAGAAAGTTTGTTTAATTGCCAGGTCAGGGATGATTTTGTTTTTAAAATTCTCATAAATATATAGACTTAGCTAGAGTTAAAAGCAAAGCTCCTGTTTAAACGTTTTAAATTTACCTCAGGTAATGGACTTGAAACCTCTGCAAAGAAATCCACAAATCTATATTTAATTTTAGGGGAGAACCATTGACAGAAAAACATAGACTTGACCTTGCAGTCAATTAAAAGCTTACGGCTGGTCAGTGGGAAACATGTGACCTAGATGAGTTACATGGTTTGTAGAATCTTGAAAAGAATCTTGAATTGTAGTAGTCGTCTTGAAAAGTCCTTGAATTCGATTAAGGTCCTTGAAAAGTACTTGATTTCTTTATTAGGTCTTGAATAGTCCTTGAAATTCAATACATGTACCTTGTTTATGCCACATCATTTTCTATGAAAATTATTACATTATTTCGCCATGAAAAATTTCGCTCATTCTCGGTGTAAGAACCTGTAAAACTCACTGGTAACGTTAAAACATTTTTGTGCATTGACAATATTTATTTCTGTTTCTTTATTTCAACTGCTATTTCTATACCTCAGATGCACCTGCAAGTCATACCCGGTGATTATTGCCCTTTTGCAAAGTGTTGTTACGGAAAGTAGTTAAAATAATGCGATCAACCATGGCTGAAAAAGTAAAAATTGGAAATGACTTCATTAACTGTCATAAAGTGTTTTAGCCAATAAGGTGTTTAAAAGAGGGTTAAAGAATGGCAATTTATTGAATAAATCTTAGTTCTTGAAAACTGTAATTTTTCCGTGAGAAGTCCTTGAAATTTGTTTGACTGAAGTTGTACAAAACACGAGTTGGCACCTGAGCCCACAATACGGTCATGTGACTCTAGTCAGTGGATACCCTGATTTGACAGCTGTCAGTTGACCATAATATGAATGTCTATTATCAAGTTAAACACAGGTTACAGGCTCCCACACTAGCTAGAAAGTTTGACATTTCACATTGGTTTCCCTGTGGTGCAGACGGCCGAACATTTGGTCGTGATAACCAACATTTCTTGGATGGATAGATTACCAAATTTTCTTAGGTATGGGGCTCTGTTCGTGTGTGCTTTGCGTGCTCATGGAGCTCTGTTAAGATACAAAAAATTAATTTAAAATAAAAAAAATGTCTCTAGGCATTACTTTGGTGGTGGTGAGTATTTCATGGACAACTTTTAAGGTGGAATTTTAATTCATTGATTTATTTTAGGACCCAGAGTTACCACAAACACTTGAGGAATTAAGTGTTATTGAAGAGGAATTTATTAAAATTCATCAGACTGGAAATGATGAATACATTATTAAGATAGAATTTAAACCTACTGCTCCTCATTGCTCTCTTGCAACACTGATAGGTAAGTCAGACCATAGAAGAGTACCAACACTTTGTAAAACTTCTCAGTACTTTGTGAGACTGCTTTCTTTGTGTTTGTTTCAATATTATTCAAAATATTTTGATTACAACAGCACAAAGCATGTGGCAAAAATTTGAGGGTAGTTTCTTGTTGCTGCAGATGGGCCAGTCACCAAAATTTAATGATGTAATACAAATGATTAAAAAAGACACTGAATGATAACCCACACCATAACACAAAATGCGAACCAACAATTATGGTTTTTGACGACACCAAGAACAAGTGATTCTAAGTTAAATATTTTGGTAGTCTCTTGGTGTCTCTTGGACGGGTGTGATCACCAAAAATTATTGACTTAGTACTAAAGCAGAATGAAAAGACAATGAACAATGTCCACACCATAACACAAATGTGAACCAACAATGGTTTTTGCAACACCAAGAAAGACCCATTTTGTGTACGTTCCCTTCTAATCTGATAATAGTAAAATATGTAAAAAATTTATTAAAATTCATAAGCACTTCATTATTGCTAGGAGGGTATAATTCTTATAATACTTTTCTACAAATGTACTTGTGGTACTTTTTCAAGTGCGGCATTCACTTCAGGGGAGGCACTCTTTTGAGTAAATTAATACAGCATTGTGACTTGTTAAAATTTCTTGGCTATGTAGGTCCTTTTCTTTTTTTTTGAGACTACTGTATGAGCCAACATTTTTCCTTTGCTGGATGTTTGAATTTCAAATGGCTGACTTAACTTTTTAGATCACTATGGTAAAAAGCAAAATTAATTTAAAATAAAAAAAAATATCATGCTTTCAAACTCTTTTGTCTCCTTTGCTCCATGCTTTCCTTCAAAAGAAGTTTATGATATAATTCAGACAATTTCATTTGATGGTAACTTTCACACAGCTATTGAAATAATAGTCACTGTCAACAACATTCCCATCTTGCTAGCTCATTCTGGACTACTCTCACGCAGAATCCATTTTTTTAAAAAACCTTGCTTTGAAACCATGAAACATAAAAATACAATTAAAATTAAAATACACAACTGAACACATAAGTGACATATATTTCTTGT